TACTTCTCTCTTGAGTTTTGTTTCTAGCTGATTGCCTTCCTTAATAGAGTCTCCTTTAGTTCCTTTTTCAAATTCATCCTTAATCCCCTATCTCCCTCATCTATAGAACCCTCTACTTCCCATCTATTTCCTCAATTTGTAAAATCAAATTAGCCTTCCTCTCCTCTAGTCTCCCAAACTACAACTTATCCCCCTCTTTTATTTCTGTCTTCAACTTTTGTAACTTCATAAATCTCAGGCCCTCCCACTTAGGATATTGTTGTTGGTTACTCCACCAATTTTTTGCCTTTTGTTTAAACTTTGAAGTTAGGAAGTGTAAGGCACATATTTTCAAATCTAAAAGGGGTTGGGCCACCTACAATACCCTACTAAAATACATAGATAAGCCAATGGTCAGAAGTGATTCTAGGCAGAGTATTTCTCAAAAGACCATTCCAATTTTCTTCCCAAGCAAGAGACACTAGGAATCTGTCCAGGCTAGAGCATAAAGGATTTTCTTGAAGATTTGACCAAGTAAACCTAGATTGCTCCAATGGAATATCTCTCAAGTCAAAGGAATCAATAAACACATTGAATATTCTCATACCAATTACCCTTTGTCTTGTGCTATTCATCTCTTTTGCAAATCTAACCAGTGTTTTAAAAGCGAAAGGCGCAAGGGCCATTTTGTGCCTGAGGCGCAAGGCACAAGGCGAGGCGTGCGCCTTTTTTGAGGCAAGGCACACAATTAAAAAAAAAAGCTAAAAATTAAATAAATAAATAAATAAAATTATAAAACATAATATTAATAAAAATATAAATTTTAATTTTAAAATAAATGTTTTAAAAAACCTATTATCTAAAATTAAAATACATAAAAATAATATGTAAAGCATATTCAAGTGAGAATTTAAAAATGAAATCAAACATATAAAACATTTTCAAGCATATAAAACCCACAATCTCTTTTTTCTCAATTAAATCAAGTAGCTAATGTGACATATTACATTCCTAATTCTACAAGCCGCCTTTGTGCCATGCCCCTCAAGGCAAACCCAAACAAGTCCATGTTAGGGTCTTAAATTCTGATTTTTCACACAAAAACTAATGATTTTATAGTTTTAATTGCTTTTAAGAAGATATTTTATTAGGATGAATGAATTGACAGCATTACCAAATAGGGGGTTCTCGAAGCTCCGGTTTCGCTCACGAAGGGGTCTGGGGGCAAAGCCCCCAGCCTAGCCGCTAGACTCAAAAAAAGGAAAAGGCGTCAAATTTTCAAAAGACACACGCTAGGGCCAAGGCACAAGGCGCACCAGGCGCATGCCTAGTGGTGCGCCTTTTGAATGGGCTGCGCCTAGGACCTGGGCAAGGTGCCTACCCTAAAATGCACCTCGCCTGTGCGCTAAATAACTGAATCTAACCACATCAAGATCACCTCCTAGACACCATAACCCATTCCACATACCCCTTATATCTGCTAACTCTTCCCACATCAGATTCCTTTCCCTATAAGAGTTTGGCCTGTAAACATTGGTTAAAACCCATTCAAACTCATCTTGAACATTTTTCAATTTAACTAACACCGTAAAACTCCAACTCCTCAATGCACTGTACTACATCTTCCTTCCATATTGTTGTTCTCTTAAAGCTCCCCAAGATGGAGTAAAACTCCAATTAACATCTCTTTTACCCCAAAAACTTCTTACCCATCTCCTATCAAGCTCATGACTTTAGACTCTTGAATTAGGAGAGTATCAGGCTTTTCCTTTCTGAGTAATTCCTTAATTGCTTTCCTCCTTGTTGCTAGAAGTGACATGAATCGAGTTTTTGATGAGCTATTCAAGCTCAGTTCATGAAAAACTCAATTTGGCTCAATTTAAACTAAGCTTCCAGTCAAGCTTGATCCTAATGAAGCTCAAATTGTGAGGCTCACGAGCCTAATCGATCTTATATTATATAATAATATTTTAATTATATAACAAATAATTTTTTATATGTATAGTTTTTACATGTATAATTTTTTATTTTTTATATGAAGCTTGGCTAACTATCAAGCTCGAACCAAGCCAAGCTCAAATAGCTAGATATTCAGCTCGGCTTGGCTTGAATCCACCCCTACTTGTTGCACTTCCTAACCCCTCACATTCCAGCTAAAAATTTTCATTGTACATTGAAACTTAACCCAAACCTAACCTCTCCTTTATAGACCTACTTTTCTTCTACCTCCCCTCACACTTAAGTCTTTATCCCCTTCAATATCATTAATTAGCTTCTCCACTTCATTCATTTTCCTCCTTGCTCCTTCCCTTTTCTTATAAAAGGATTTCAGTTCCTTAGGGGAGCATACATCTAATCCCTCCCCAGACCCCGCATTGGCGGGAGCCTCGTGCACTGGGCTGCCCTTATCTATAACTATCTCTTCCTCCAACCCCAATTCGTTAGTATGCCTTTTACTACAAATGGTTTCTGTCTTCATCCCCATTCTTTTTCCCATTTACATCCTTCTTTCCCTTTTCCACCAAATCCCCCTCTGTTGATCTTGTATCCCCTTATCTGCCTTCCTTTTCTCTTCCACTTCCTCTCCTAAATGTCTAGAACTGCCCCCTTATGCTCCTTATTACTCTTTATAAGTTCACTGCAAACTCCTCCAAACCTCTCTTCATTATAGTTTAACACTGCAAACTCCTTCAAACCTCTTGGTTCACATTCCTATTACATTCAGCCTGAGCATTTTTGAGAGTAACCTTGAGTGCATCCTTCTGTTGCAACCTTGATCTTGTTGTGGGTATTTTTGTTCGATTGCTTTTCCACCGTCCAGACACAGTGCTCTTGCCACTGATTCGTCAATAATCCCCCTCCTCTTTGATCATCATGTACTCCCCTGCTTTATTTGGTCTAAACTCTTTTCATCACCATCTAATCCGGTTTGCACCCTGATTGCATCTTCTACTCGAGCTGCATCAGTCTCCCACACCTCACTAATTTTTCTAACTGAAGCTTACCACACTTAATCCCCCTCTGGAAACTGCGTAAGATGATTCTTTCCAAATTGAAGAGGTCTGACCGTCTGACAAGTGATAATCTTCCTCTTGCTCAAGCAAAACTTGAACTGTACCTTCCACACTGCAAGTACTCAATTCAGCATAGTACTAGTTTCTTTGTCTTCCTCATGTTTAATCCAATCTCTACCAGTCCTTCCAATCATTTTTGCTTCTTGAGTAATTCAGATTAGGTCAATCCTGGTTGGGACTTGGGAAGGTGAAATTTTACCCACTGAAATGACCCTGATATTGATCCCTGGGACCTGTTAACCATTGATGGGGATGATGATAGACCAGCTCTGTCATCCACCATTACTTAGCCTTCTGCCTCTGGTATGTAAGGGTTAAGTTGTCACATGCTGATGGCCTGACTACTAGTTCACCCAGTTGGGAAGGCCTTAGATCCCACCGTTCAATTAAGCTCAAAAGAATTTAAATTCTTTCTTTAAAATGGAAGATGGAACATTTCTTCTCCTCTTCTCACCTTTCCAAGTTCCTCATTTATCACACCCAACAACTCCGCTTTTCTGCCACATGGCCTCCACCAAGCCACATCAGCACCATTTTCAACCTTCAGCCCTTCTCCCCACAGTGTCGCTTCATCTTCTGAAGCTACCCAGTCTTCTCCATCTCCCTTTGGTGAACAACTCTAATGCTCATGGGATCGATTCTGGATTTGCTCCCACTACCTTTTTCCACACAACATGAAGATCAAGAAGGTTTACAGCTTCTGAAACTCCTCCACAGACTCGCAATCTTGTCTATAAAACTTGGTCCGTCAACATCGAAAGGAAGACTGAGGATTTTTAGCTCAATACTTCCTTCCCCCAACTCCTTTTTATTGCAGGATGGATTCCAACTTTCAATCATCACCATACCTTCTCTGGTATTCAGCCTGACCTCAGTCTAAGCATCACCTAAGTCAAGGATGGCTTTCTTCTATCAAACGGCAGCAACCATGGTGATTCTTTGGTATGTATTACCTTCAAGATATCATCCAGCAGTCCCCTCCAGTCCCCCACCATTACTTTCGGTATCGCTGATGCACCACACAACACTTCCTCCTTATTCTCTTCCTTTTCATCTTCATGTTGTAAATCACCTGGATTGGTAACTACCGCTACTGAAACACTGTTCAAATTCTGAAAATACCATCTTCTATGCGTACACTGCTCCAAAGCCTCTGCTACGTTGATTCAACCCTGTTTTTTTCTTCCCTCTGGAAAACACACAATCTGCCTTCTTCCATTCCCAAAAGTTTCCATAAGCATTATAAAGAATCTCCTGCTATTGCATTGTACTATTATTAAAAATCTTTTTAATTCCTAATCTCGCCTTGTCCCAAAAGTTTCTTGTAATATAATCATTTTGTTTCTCATTTTTTTAAAGATAAAATTATCCTGTTTTGGTTCTCCACAAGTTCTCATGTTCTACGCTGCATGACTCGTTGCTTTATTTGTTAATGCTTTATTTCCTAGATAATAGCCCCTGTTATAAGCAGGAGTTTCAGGGTGTCTTATTTTTAGGATTAAAGGGTCCTCCATTTTATCTGATGCATTTGAAGTTTTCAATGCCTATTTAGACAACAGCATTTGTACAGTAATTGTGACCAGTTTGAACACCTAAATTTTGCTATGTTGTGCAGTAATTCATTAAACATGTGCACAGCTTTTTTGTTATTGCATTATTTCTAGTGTGTGACTATTATTTTATTTTAATTTATTTTATTTTTAGGGGGGGGGGGGGGGGGTACTTCTGTAGTATATGGCATCAGTTTTTCAATTTATAGAAAGTTTGCGTAGAAATAAACTTAAGTAGAGTTGTTTGATCGAATTACCGAGTTTTGTAATTGTAGCATTGAGAGTACATCACTGGGAAAGAATTATGATATGCAGAAGTAGATAATGTTCTTGCTCTCTCCAAAAACGTTACATTGCGGTATTTGAGTTCTATGATTGACATGTCTCATTTTGGCAGGGGAAGCCGTTCTCGATCTCCAGTTGTAACAGAATAGCGGTTCTCATCAGCTTCACAAATGATCAATCTGATCTACACCTACTTCTCTTCGTTGCAGGTGTAAAAAATATTGTTAGCATTGAATTAAGGATCTTATGAGTGTAAATTAAATCACATCAAATGAGAAAAATAGGCGTTTACTTTTCCCATTCTTTTGTACGTTTCCTTGTTCTTTTGACTAAGAAGCTAACAACCTTGGTCATACTTGTTAAATTGGAGCAGGATCTGCTGCGCACAAAACCCTGTGTGAATGCTATGAACAGAACACTATAGGAGGAGCAAATCTCCTTTGGCAGCGGCTTTTCCAACGGTATAGAGAAAGGTTTAATTTAACCCAGCAGCGGCATAGAAAAAGGATTAATCCGGCAGTTCTCATGAGAGTTTCATGGCAGAAACCCCTTTCTCCCTTTTCCCAACGCAAATTCCCTTTTTCTTTCACAAAAAAAAAAAAACACTCCCTTTTATTTCTCCTCAACCCTAACCTAAACTGACCCTATGATACCCTTGACCCAATCCATCCTGACCCCTTTTCCACTAACCCAAAAGGGTTTCTTGACACATCGATCTAACATGATAGACGGATGGGTATGGGTGGATTTCCAAGTGAATGGATTGGGTGAGTCAAATAAGTTGGGTCAAAATTGTCAGCCCCAGTTGTGTCCTGTTCATAGCCTGCACACATGTTCGTGGCATATCCAGACTTGTCAACTCACACTAAAAGATCAAGCTTTTAAAAAAGCCAGTAACGATCACCAAAAAAAATAATAAATTACAAGGTCTGTGTGTCTCGATCTCGGGGAATATAGAAATTTCATCCTCTTCGGTTCCCTTGTGGAAAAGATATCTACTTTTACATGCAAGCGACCAACAAGTTCTTTTATTTCTTTGGCACTAATAGTAATAAAACATAATCAACAGGCCTCAAAAAATGAATGAATGAATGAATGAATGCTGATTCCCCAAATGCTTTTTCCTTTGTAATAAAACACATCAAGAGCCATCACTTTGTGACTTCTTGAGCACCATCTGCCCAGTGTCATCCTTCTCAAAAAGACGCTCAATTAATTCATCCCAGCTTTCCCTTGTCCTGCTTTTCTTAGACGGACCCGATGAAACTAATGAAGAAGCTTGCTTGGTTGTGCCACTGGAATTTTCCTGCTCATCAAATGTTCCATAAGGAGAAGGGGAGTAAGCATGAGGGACGGCCAACTTGACTGCCCGCTGTAATGCTGCCTTGTACTCCTCAGTGTGCTCTCTTGCAAGAGTCTCCCGGCGCTCCATCCTCTGCTTTGCTGGAATCTCCATAATTCGATCTTTCTCTATCATTAACTAAGAATTGGAGGAAAATTTCTCAGTTCTACAGGGATGATGAATGTTCACAGAGAGAGAGAGAGAGAATGGTTTAATACGGTTTGTTCATAATTCTGTCAAAACTGAAAAGAGATGTACATGGTTGAGTAGAAAAAATAATGTATTGACTTTCCACAAGTGGGGAGAGAACCAGTAGAATCTACTGTGTCATGAATTTATGCAATAACTTAAAAAGAAACAAGACGAAGAATGATAGCAATTCATTTATCCATGAGGCCCAGAGAACTTGATCTAATTCTTTATACATCTCTGATCAGTGGAAAGAAACACAATCTAGGTGTTCATACATCTCTGATCAAAGGATCAAAATGGCCAGTTATTAATCAATCCTCTGGGTATGGTGTTCAGTTCTTCAGGCCCAATGGGAGAAGGAAATTTCCAAGGACTAAGATTCTTGAACTTCTCCATAGCCTCTGTTTTCTACCAATGATCAATCCTCTGTTTTCTTTTGCTTTTTATCAAGATTGTTGGCAGATCCTAGAAGCTGACTTGATGGAGGTGTTTTTTGAATTCCACCGCCAGGCACGAATGCTACCTTCCTTGCTCTAGTGCCCAAAAAGAGAGGTGAAAACTCCAAAGGATTTTAGGCCCATAAGACTAATTTGGAGCCTCTATAAAATCATTGCTAAAGTTTTGGTAGGATGATTGAAATCTGTGTTACCATTGGTAATCTCCCAAAACCAATGAGCCTTTGTAGAAAGGAGACAAATAATAGACCAAATCCTTTTGGCAAATGAGTGTGTGGCTGAAAAGAAAAAACGAGGGAGAGGACTAATTTGTAAGCTAGATCTAAAAAAAGCCTATGATATGGTGGATTGGTCCTTCCTTCTACTTCTTTTGGAAAAGTTTGGATTGGACAAGAGATGGAGGAATTGGATTGAAGGACGTAGTAGCTCAGTACATTTCTCGATTTTGGTAAATGGAATAGCTAAGGATCTTCTACCCAGCAAAAAGAGGTTTAAGGCTGGGAGACTTCATTTCTCCTTTCCTTTTTAACTTTGTGGCATAAGTATTAAGCAAATGGTTGTTAAGGCTGATCTAAATAATTTGCTTTGAGGATGGAGAGTTGGTAGGGAGGAGATTGTTGTCACTCACTAATTTGTAGACGACTTAATCATCTTTTATGAGGAATGTAGTGAATCCAATGTGAGGAACTTAAAACTTCTAGTTGATTGTTTGCAAAGGGTATCAATGCTGAAAGTGAATTGGGGGAAGAGTTGTGTGACAGGAATTAATATGGGAGAACAAGATATTCGGGAGGTGGCAGAAATACTAGGTTAGATTAGGAGTTAGCCCCTAGAGTATCTTGGTATGCCATTGGGGGGTAACCCTAGGTCAAAAAGCTTTTGGAAATCGATAATAGAAAGGTTCAGAAAAATGTTAGCATTTTGGAAGAGGAGTTACATTTTTATGGGAGGAAGAATTACTCTGATTAGATCCACCTTAACCAACTTGCCTACCTACTTCCTTTCCACCCTTAGAATACCGATCAGGATTATAAAGAACTTGAAGAAAATTAAGAAAGATTTATTGTGGAAACCGGGGGATGAAAGAAGAGATCATCTTATAAAATGAGAACAGGTATACAAATCTAAAGAATTGGGAGGACTTGGAATTAGGAATCTAATAAAGACAAATACAGCTCTACAAGGAAAATGGCTCTGGAGATTTCCTTTAGAAAGTGATAGATTGTGGCTCAAGGTCACTGGAAGCATTCACGGTAAGGCAGAAAATGGCTAGGATGCAACTTTGACAACTCATACTTCTTCAAGATCCCCCTGGAAAGCAATAATAGAGGTATTACCAACCTTTCTCAGTTTCACTCGATTTGATGTGGGTAATGGGGAGAGGGTCCTTTTCTGGGAAGATCTTTGGGTTAGGGATCTACCATTGAAACAACAATTTCCCTTACTCTTTTCTTTATCCAGTTACAAGGCTGAACCCATCTCGGTTTTTCAATGGAACTTGGAATAAATTGGGATTTTGGATATATATGAGAGGTCTGAGAGATTTTGAGCTTGACTCCCTTGTCCTCTTACTATCAAAGTTGGAAAATGTTTTCTTGGACACCAACTCTCCAGATGGAAGAATTTGGTTCCCTTCACCTTATGGTCTTTTCTCTTGTGCTTCCTTTTTTAACCTTCTTGTCTTGTTAGAGCTTTTGGGGGAAACTTTCCCAATTAAAGAAATCTACTGTAAACCTATTCCTCCTAAAGTACAAGCTTTGTCTTGGGAAGTGTTCCTTGGGAAGACCAACGCCTGTGACTTGCTACAAAAAAGAAGACCAAACAAATGCCTTTCTCCTCATGTGTGTATCCTTAGCAAGGAAAGTGGTGAGACCCTTCCTCATTTACTTGTTACCTGCCCTTTATGTCTTGTATATGGAAATATGTTTGTTCACTCTTTGGTTGCAGATGGGATCCTCCACAAGATGTGGTAGGCCTATTCAATTCCAGTTTCTTAACTCAACAAAAGAAGAGAGGAAGAGTTGTGTAGAGGACAGCGAGAGCAGCGCTGATCTGGACTGTATGGGAAGAAAGAAATCAGAGAATTTTTAATGAGAAGAGCAAATCAAAGGAAGAACTGTTTGAAGCCGTAACAGTAAGAACAACACATTGGGTAAAAACTGTGGATCTCTTTAGAGAATTCTCAACAAATGACATAATACAATCCTGGACTAAAGTGGCACAAACAGTTAGACCTGCAGATAGTGTAAGAATGGTTTGGAAACCTCCATCTTTCAACAAACTGAAGCTTAACTTTGATACTTTGATGGTAGCTCATTGGGTAATCCAGGAAGGGCAGGAATAGGAGGTGTTTTCAGAAACCATGAAGGAGTGTGATGTGGACGCATATTGGGAGCAGCAGCAGCAATGATCCGGTGTTCTCATCCTATCCAATTCGGCAGCAACAGTCTTATCCATTCAGCATATTAGATTAGACTATCTTGTTATTCTTATCTTATTAAGTTAGTAGATTAGATTA